GCAATTCTGTTTTCTAACACGCTGTGCTTGAGGTCTCCAAGAGAGGGGATTTTCAGCAGAGTGAGGTTTTGCATGAGTACAACCTTCACTGCTGGAAATAGGCAGCCCTTCCCATTGCCTTTCCCGTCCAGCACCCACAGACCCCTCTGCTCCCACCTTATTGCCCACAGACCACATCTCAACCTGTTGGCGCTGCCACCAAAGGTCCCCTTGTCTTCAGCAGACCTGTGCCCACACTCACACTATCAATCAGTGTGGAAAATCTGTGGAGGTTGGGAAAACAGGACAGTACTGTGAGAAAAGGCTGTGGGGGAGGACTCTCATTGGGAGTTCAGAGAGCAGGTCCTGGGCTGAGTTACTGAGGGGACAGGGAGCTGGGCCCTCACAGCCTCTCCAGCTTCACCTTCTCTCTGGTTACAAACTCCTACTTTGGTATCAAAGTCTATTGATTTCACCTTTAGCATCAGTCCCCAGCTGATGCTCGACCTTGCTGCTCTGCTGCTTCCACCCATCACTTTTGGCCCTTTGTTTTTACAACCAGACCTTTTATTTTGCCTTCTGAGAATAGCCACAGCTGCTTCTTTGCATGAGGGCCCGTGTTCATCCCACTGTATTTCTTCTACAGCTTCCTGGGCAGGGGCAGAGGAGGGGCAGGGACTGAGCTCTGCTCTGGGGGGACCAGGGACAGCAGCCAGGGAAGGGCTGGAGCTGTGTCAGGGCAGGCTCAGGTTGGATCTCAGCCAAAGGTTCTTCCCCCAGAGGCTGGTTGGGCACTGCCCAGGCTCCCCAGGGCAGTGGGCACAGCCCCAAGGCTGCCAGAGCTCCAGGAGGGTTTGGCTGATCCTCTGGGGCACAGGGGGTGACTCCTGGGGCTGGGCCTGTGCAGGGCTGAGGGTTGGACTGGATGATCCTTGTGGGTCCCTTCCAGCTCAGCACACTCGGTGATTCTGTGATTCCCAAAGTGTCCAGAGTCCCACAAGAACCTTCCCTGACAACACACCTGAGAGCAGAACCTGGCCTGGGATGTCCTGGTTTCCCTCACACGCTGCTGGCCCAGCACTGGTGTGGAACAGCGTCCCTGATGTCACTGTGGCTATTTGGGGTTCAGGGGGAAGGAGCTTTAGTGCTCTCCCAGCAGTGACGTGGGTGAGGAGGTGTCAGCAGTGGTTATCTCCGAGGTGAGGAGGTGCCATCAGTGGTTATCTCCCAGGGGATTGTGCCGTTGTGCAGCTCCAGCCGCTGCCACGTTCCAGCCAGGGAGGTTTGTGTTCCTGAGATAAGAGATGTGTCGTCACAGAAAGATTCCTGAAGTGTCTCATATCCCTGGGCAGGTGATTAGGAGGCTGTTGACATCAGTGCTATTATCAGCACTAATTGTACCCAAATGGCTGCGTACACAAGACCCAAATATTTCAGTGACTCTCTTGCTCTGCCCTACTGAAGCTTTGCAATTAAACAGCTGTACCCAAGAGACTTATACCAACCAAATCCTTCCTCACTTAAGTGGGTCTGACCTTCCACCCTCGGGGCCTTATGGAAATAACCTGGATCACACACAGCAGTGTGATTGAATTGGCAAGGAAATAACCAGTGTGATCCAAGTTGGACTTTCTCCTCCACCTATAAAGTTTTGTTCTGCTGGTGCTGAAAAGTCTTTTTTCTCTCTGTAGCCATGAAGAGAGAAAGGAGTACTCAGGACACACAATCTGGTGTGTTTAGGGAATAAGGAGATCACACCTTCAGCGCTGCTGAGCTCACACTGGTTTAGTCCCAGGTCTACCAGCCAGGGCTGCTTTGGACACCTATGCTCAGTTTATCTCATGTATAGTCTGACAGGACAGACATCACTTTCCTGAGCATCACCAGGGATTTCTTCAGTGTCTGAGAGCAACAGTCTCCTCCCTCCCAGGTGGGCTGGCACCTGAAATCATTTCCTTATTGTGTTGGGACCAACAACCAACTCAGAGAGTAGCTCTCATTATTACAATCCCTTCAGGATGGAAAACAAAAAAGGGGTTACATTTGTGCTCATCAGGTCCCTGAGCTGTATTTTTGTTTGTGATAAAGATCACAAGCTGAAATGTTTTCCTGGACACGTGGGTTTGTCCTCAGAGAGGGCAGCAGGCTGAGGGTTCAGCTCTCAGGTGGGTATTGGCTGAGGATGAGGCACTTCCTCTCACCTTCAGTTGTTCCAGGGTAGATTCACTCCACTTGCCTCAATTATTTTTAGTGAATGGAGGTAAACTGTCCATTCAGGAGTCAGGGAAGCTTAGGGCTGTATCAAACCCCATTCAGACAGTAATACTAACAGGACAAAGGGCAGAAGTATGAGGAGAAACGAGCTGAGCTGCAGTGGAAGGTGTCCCAGACTCAGAATCACAGCAGAAATCGGGTTGGAAGGGACCTCTGGAGGTTCCTCCTTCTGCCATCTGCTTAAAGCAAGGCCATCTTTACTGGCAAAGGAGGTTGTTCAGGGTCTTTTCAAGCTGAATTTGAAGATCTCCAAGGATGGAGATCCCTCAGCCTCGCTGGATCCCTGTTCCAGTGTTTTGCTGTCCCACTGTGGATTTTTTCTGTTAAACCAAGTGCCTCTTGTCTCCTTTGATTTACAGCTCCACAAACAGCCCTGCTCTGCCCCTTTTTCAGCTCCTCACTGGTGGGATGTGGAGCCTCTCTTGGTCAAGTTAAACACACTCAGCTTCAGGCAGAACTGGTTTGTCCTCTCCCATTTCCACCCCACCAGTACCTGCAGCTCCACATCCCACCTTTGTGTTTGCAGGGCTGGCTCTGTGTGTTCCCCACCCCTCTGATCCCTGCCCTGGTTGGTCCTGCCCAGGTGGCTCCATGGATTAAGCTGAGTGGAATCTAGAGTTTTATACAGTGTTTTAGAGTCATCTTCATCTGTCACCTCCCTCTGCTCTCTGAATGATTGCACTCCTGACTCAAAGAGTGTCTTGGACAAGTGTTCAAAATGAGCCCAAACCACTGTGGGCCAGTAAATAATGGTCCAAATACAATCTGTGTGATTGAAAAATGACTCTTTGTGTTTCTGTACAGCAGATGCCATTAAATGGTCATCTGATGCTTAATATATCTTGGAGATATGTACCAAGGGCTCAGTTCTGCCAACGTGCTGCCTTCAAAAAATGTGTTGTCTCCAACAGGATGGTGATGCCAAACGGACAGAGCTCTTTAGCTTCCCAAATATTCTCCAGTCAACAGGGTCTGGGATGCAATGGGCTGGAATCCTGTAGGATAGAATGCATCAGGATTACTGGGTGAATGGATCCTCTCCTCAGGAGGGGACTGTGCACTGTCACACAGGGCAGGAACCTCAGGCCTCAGCTTCAGGTCCTCGTTCTGCCACTCATGTTCTCTACAACCTGGGACACAGAGCCAAAATTTCCAACATGTCCTGTGAGCTGGTGGCCAGTCTGAGGTACCTGGAGCATGACTGTCCATGGGGAGCACTCACAGATCTGTGCCAGCCTGTGGCAATTCAGCAGCTTTTGGAGAACACCAAATGCCAGCTCTTTTTGTCTCAGTGAGGATTTAGGAGCAAACAAAAGGAGTCCTGACTTGGGATAAGGCTCAGTATCTACCTCTTACTCCTCTCTGAGCCTGTCTTAGCACTAAATAAAATCTGTGCTTTCATGTCCCTGCAAACAACAACCCCTTTACTCTCCCTGTCTCAGTGTGTGTGCACACACAGATACCCTATGGTTGGTTACAGCCCCTATCTCTGCTCTCTCTACAGCCAATAAATAATCAAAAGTGGTTAAAAATATTCTGCACAGGATGGTTGTGAACTAACATAATCCTCTTCGGGAGCCTCTGAGATCTTCCCAGGGTTTCTTTTGTAGAGCACATTAGTGTTGCAATCCATTATGCACAGGGACAGCAGTCTGGAGAGGAAATCATTTGGAAAATGGAAGGGACTCGAGTCCCAAACTATTTCTCATATGAAAGACCAGAAATATGGCATTTAAGGAATGCCAGGAGATATGAGCAACACCAGCATCCTCCTCATCAATATGCAGTGAAGGAATTTCTCCTCCTTACATCTTTCTTGGTACCCAAGGTGACATCAGACATGTTCCCTCTGCCAAGAGAAAAGAGCCTTTCAAACTCCATCATCCTTCAAAGGCCACTGTCCCTTAAATCCACACAAGTCACCCCCTTCCTCCTTTCCCTGTGGCTCCAGTGAGAGCTTGTGGCTGCCCTAAGAAAATCAGAGCATTTCACGCTGTGATTATTCCACTGTGTCCATGATATTCACAGAGGGAAAAAAAAATCTTGGAGTATCCAGCCATCCAAGGGGAAAACATTGGCTGCAGCTGCACTGTGTGGCATTGCTTATTCTTGGGGAATAGCAGAGAAACCTCAGGACCATTAAAGAAATCCCTAATGGGCAGAAAGCTCAAGGTAGGCTAATAGCTGTGTTGACATTCACCCAGGAACGTTGTTTAATCCTTTTCTTCTGGGCTGCTGGTTCTCCTCTCAAAAACTCCCTCCCCCCACTGCTGTGGTGCAGAAAAATTAGGGATTTCTGGAGTGTGGGGACCAGACTCCTGATTTTGGTCAATCTTAAAGAAGTGTGGCTTGGGGAGGGCAGTTTTGGTGCCCCCTTGGGCAGGTCCCAGGGCTGTGATGTGTTCAGAGTGACTCTGGGTGGAGCTTTCTGCTACAACGAGCAGTTTATCTGCACTGCAAGGAAAATGATGGAGGGATGACACAACCCTGGGGTGAAGTGAATGAGGGGAAGCATATGAAAAACTGAACAATAGCCAGGAACTACTTGCAGCAGCCACACAGAAAGAAACTGAGCTTTTAAGCCGTATTTTTTATTTTATTATGAATATTGTTGGGGTTTTTTGTTTGTTTGTTTCTGTTTCTGGTAGAAATCCAACTGCTGCTGAATTTGTGGAACTGAAAATATTTGTGAACAGTTCTAGCTGACGAGTGAAAATATGTTTTTTTCCCTCTTTCTCTCTCCCCAGGGCTCTGGCTGACATCTTAAGGCAGCAGGGACCAATCCCAATAGGACACTGTGAAAGAGAGACTATCTCAGCCATAGATACCTCTCCCAAAGAGAACACCCCAGTCAGGACCTCTTCCAAAAATCATTACACCCCAGTGCGCACCTCCAAGAGCAACCCAGGTAAGTGCTGCTCTCCTCTCTCTCTCCAGAGCAACCAGGGGCCGTGTTAGAAGGCAGCAGAACATCCCACTTTACACCAGCAGACTTTGTAAACCTAAAATTAGGATAATAAATGGCTTTAAAAGGCGCCCAGGCGGAGCGGAGCAGTGCAGGGCTCAGTGGTGATGATTCTCTCAGGTTTCTGGGAGCAGAGTGGCTGTTCTCTCTCTCTCCAGGCATTTTAAAAATTCAGAGCCAGCGAGGTATAAATTCAGGCTGTACCAGGAGCTTGTATTGAGTGTAGAACAGTGTGTATTTCCAGCAAAACACGTATGCTGGGAGGCTTTGTGGGGCTCCCTGCACTGAGCAGCTGGGAAGAGAGAAATCCGTGGAACTGGGGCCTCCGTGCTCATCCAGGGGAACTGTGGCCATGTGCTGAGAGGATGGTGTGGGAGGTGACCTAGAAGAGCTCCAAAGGTCCTCTAGGAGCATTGGCCTGGAACTGGGGACACACCTTGGGGGTTTTTTCCGCTTCTATGGCTGGGTGAATTTGGTGAAATCCTTTGCCTTCTTTTTGCATTGATTCCCCCAGTGGCTCAGGGCTGGGGAATAAAGATATTGTTATTTAGTGCTTCAGAGGTTGATAGTTGTCTGAGCAGTGTCTCGGTGGGTGCTGCACACCTTTGTTGGGGGGGATGTGGCAGATCTTCCAGCAGTTACCCCCTCCCATTTGCTCTGGGTGTGTGCTCAGAGCTGGGCCCTCATTCACTCACAACCTGTTCAGCCTCACGTGGAAGGCTCTGGTGGCACTTCCTGACCTGTGTCACCTGGTGAGCAGAGGAGGTTTTGTTCATGGTCCCTGCTGGGGAAGCTTTTGAAGGAAGGCAGTGGGAGCTCAGGCTGCTCCACGACCTGCAGGGCTCTGCTCTGAGTGGGAAGGGCGTGTGGCTGAGGCAGGGACTGTGTGGTTGGGAGTGTTTGGTTGGGACTGTGTGGTTGGGAGTGTTTGGTTGGGACTGTGTGGTTGGGAGTGTTTGGTTGGGACTGTGTGGTTGGGAGTGTTTGGTTGGGGCAGTTT